CATTCTTAGTGGGAATAGGAATGGTTCAACGTGTTCAGCAGAGTACTGAAATTTTACCTTGCCTCGGTCCAGATGGGCAATCATGAGCTTTTTAAACTTTGCAAATATAGCTGTTAATTTATGGGGCTGAGACTTACTTACAGCATGGGACATGAGGCTTACAAATGAGAAAATTGATAACCCAGGATTTAAAATGTTGAAAAAGAGTTATCAGAGTAGGAAAGGCGTAGCAAAGTCCCTGCAGGGAAGCCCTGATCCAGTATCTATAACTGGCCAAACAAATAGAACAGGGCTGGGCTTTCAGGATTTCTAATGGGGGCCATTGATTCTTCTCCTCAACCCACCGTTTTGCCGTTAGAGTGGCTGACTGATAAACCTGTATGGGTGGATCAATGGCCCCTATCACAGGAAAAACTGACTCAGCTTCATCAGCCAGTAAAAGAATAATTTAATGCAGGACATCTAGAAGGGTGAGCCCTTGGAATTCACCAGTATTTGTGATTCTGAAGAAAATCAAGGAAAATGGCGACAGCTACATGACTTAAGACCTCTTAATGCACAGAAGAAACCAATGGGTGCATCGCAGCAAGGTTTACCATCCCAACAGCCATTCCAGGAGATTGGCCTCCCGTGCTCATACATCTCAAAGGTTGTCGTTTTGCTATAGCATCACATGAGACGGACAAGCCTCGATTTGCATCCTCTGTGTCTCCTATTAATCAAAGAGAGCCTGTCTCTCACTATCAGTGGAAAGCTTTATCCAGGGCATGCTCAACAGTCCTACCTTATGCCAGCATTTGGTAAGAAAAGCATTGAAGGAGCCTCGGAGCATGTTTCCCACCGGCTACATCATTCATTACATGGATGATACTCTTTTGGCCGCTCCTACAAATCAAGTACTACACAGCTATTTCGAGGAATAAAACAAGGCTTGGCTAAATGGAACCTCAAAATCGCTCCTGAAAGGGTGCCAACAACCTCCCCATATCAGTACTTAGGAACTACTGTTATTGAAAGAAGTGTCTGGCCTCAAAAGGTAGGTCTTCACAGAGACAGATTACAAACTCTCAATGATATCCAGCAATTACTGGGGATATTAATTCGCTGCAACTGATACTAGGTATTGCTACTTATCAACTCAAACACTTCTATCAAACACTCCAAGGAGATTCTTCTAGATTCTGCCCAAGAACTTACTGAGGAGGCAGAAGCTGACATGCAGCTTCTAAAACAATTGCTTCAGGAACGACATGTCTCCCGACTCCACACACAAAAGCCTCTGCTTTGGTGTATTCTTCCCACTCCCCATTCTCCAACAGGACTTTTAGGACTGTTCATAGACAAAACTATAATGGTAATAGAATGGCTTTGTCTATCCAATCAGACAGTAAAGTCTTTGCAAGTTTCTCTCTCTCTCTCTCTTTTTTTTTTTTTTGAGACGGAGTCTCACTTTGTTGCCCAGGCTGGAGTGCAGTGGCACAATCTTGACTGACTGCAACTGCTGCCTCCAGGTGCAAGCGATTCTCCTGCCTCAGTCCCTGAGTAGCTGGGACTACAGGTGTGTGCCACCACACCCAGCTAATTTTTGTATTTTTTTTTTTAAGTAGAAACAGGGTTTCACCCTATTAGACAGCCTGGGCTATGAACTTCTGACCTCAGGTGATCTACCCGCCTCAGCCTCCCAAAGTGCTGGGATTATAAGCATGAGCCACTGTGCCTGGCCTACCTTTCTTTAATCACATAACTTAAAACAATGGGCAGACATACATCAAAAATGCTTACAGGATATGACCCTGATACAGTTACTGTTCCCTTGGATTCCCAACTGCAGGGTAGCCTGGCAAATATCGACTACATCGCAAATCACCCTTGCGGATTTTGTAGGAGTTAGAGGTAACCATCATCCTACAGATAAGATTTTGCAATTTTACAAAGTCCACCCTTTCATCCTCCCTGTCACTCCTCATCACAAGCCTATTCCAAGTAGACAGACTTATTTTACTGGCAGCTCTTCTAAAGGCTGTGCAGGTATTTATGGACCTAAACATACTCAATCAAGACCCCTGGAGTTTCAGCCCAACATTCAGAATCATTGGCAGTTATTCAGGTTCTGCAGCTTACAGCTTTATCCCCTATCAACATTTTCTGTGATTTGGTCTATGTCGTAACTGTAGCCAGTCATACTGAGACTGCCACTATTAAAAGCACCCTAGAGCCAGAACTGCTTCACTTATTCCTAAGACTTCAACAAGTTATTCACTCTCGTGCAGCTCCTTTTCATATGTCTCATATCTGATCACACACACAACTTCCTGGGCCACTATCTCTAGGTGAGGAGAAAGCAGATAAGCGAATTGGTTGTGTATTTCAGCAGGCCCAAACTTCCCATGCATGACTACACCAAAACACCTCTGCCCTCACCCGCATGTTTCCTCTATCTCGCAACCAGACTCGAGGCATTGCACAAGTCTGTCCCACCTGCCAACATATCCCTGGTGTTACACCCAAGGAAGGATGTAACCCATGAGGCTGAGCTCCAGATGAAATGTGGCAGACAGATGTTGCACATGTAGCAGCCTTCGGCAAGCTCAGCTATGTTCCTGTAAACTGCAGATACCTACTCTCGTATGTTACATGCCACATGTCAAACAGGAGAAACAGCTGGTCATGTCTGACATCACTGCCTGTCATCACTTGCCCACATGGGGCCCCCTAAACAATTCAAAACTGACAATGAACCTGCTTATGTCAGTCATGCTTTTCAAACCTTTTTACAATTGTGGGCAATCAAACACAAAACAGGAATTCCATACATTCCCCAACAACAAGGGATTATTGAGCAGGCACATCAAACACTACAATGAATGTTGAAAAAACAAAAAAGAGGGAATAGGAGACCAGTTACCACCTTAAACAAAATTATACATAGCCTTGTTTGCTTTAAATTTTTTTGACTTCTGGTATGGATGGTAAGATTCCGGCAGAGAGACATTGGCAAGTATTAGAGAAAAAGAGGCAAGTTTACCCAGAAGTATTATGGAAATCCCCGGAAAAAGGATGATGGTAAGGCCCGGTGGATTTGCTGACGTGGGGACGAGGGTGTGCTTGTTTTTACAGGAGATGGGCAAATGGTGTGTGTGCGACCATGGAACAGGAGACTGGAGGGATCATGGTGGCCAACCACAGGGGCAGTCCCTCCAGCACGAGCCATGAGCAAACGGATCTGAATGCAAAAACAGAACGAGGGCCAAGCAGAGTCACAATGATAACCAAACCCTTAAAAGGGACAGATCAAGAAAACCATGCGGGAAGCTGAGAAATTGCTGGAATAAAAACCTCTGACACCATGTTCCTGGCAGTGCTGGCGTAGTGTTCTGTGCTATATGTTTTCCCTGTGTGGAGGCAAAAGCATACTGGGCATATGTTCCCAACCCCCCAGGAGTGGGACCTGGTACTCTGGAGTGACATTTCTCCTGAAATATCTCACGCTCAAGGAATGTGGGCTCCAGGACTGCTGACTCCCCGAGACACAGAACAATTAAACTCCCAGAACAATAGCATCGACTACACTGCCCCTTGAGAAGGATTCTCTTTGTATATCACCATGGATACATTGCTCAACCACAGCTGTCCTGCAGTCCAATCTCAGGCATGGTTAAGTCACCAGGGGAAAACTTTCTATCTATTAGGCCTCAGCTCTATTAATATTACTGGTGTGTTTACTAATTGCTCCCTGTCTCATCGCCCAAATTCTATTGATCATGTGACATGGACTCCCTTTGAAAATTCTCACCCTCCTCCTCAGACCCAGTGTCTTGGCCCGCTGGCCAGACAATCCACGTTAATAGGAGACATTGCTGACTGGGGTCCTTGTGGCCATTTAGATGGGAAAGATGGAAATCAAACCTCTTGGCATCAACGTTGTTGGCACTGGACCTTCAGCACCTCTTCTTCACACCAAACTGGGGTTCATCCCAATCTCCCACACAACTTGCTTCACATGGCACCGGCTTTAGCCCAGTCTTACCTCGGTGGCATTATCTAGGGAAGAGCCCCAATTCAGGAGTCGATTTGGAAAGCAGCACTCCCATTTATGAATGGTAGCATTTGGGTCAGAACACTATCCAATAATAGTAATTCTGTTCAACACAGTTTCAGTATCACCTTTTGTTAGAAACATTACCACTCAATTTACAGTGTTTCCATTCCTTAGGTTTTTCTAGCAGCTAAGAAGGGTCAGCTCCAGGTAATCATCACCCAACTGACTTGTGTCTCTTGTCAACTGTATCATTGCCTTAATCATAGTACTAGTCAAACACACAACATATCCACCCTATTAATTCTAAGTCGTATTCCTGGATTATGGATTCCTGTCAATTTGTCTGAACCATGGGCTGCTACCCCTGCTTTACCTTTTGTGAAACTTCTTACCCAGCTCACTCAGCGTGCTCGTAGAGCCTTAGGCGTGATAATTTTTGCTATCGTCTCCCTGGCCACAGTAATAACTTCTGTCATAGTGTCCTCAATAGCACTACCAAGTTCAATTCAAAGAGTCCGACACGTAGAAAATTGGACACGTACAGCCGACCCCTCATGGATCCTCCAAGTTACAAACAGAAGCAGCAACGCTGAAGACGACTGTTTCGTAGAAAGGAGAACAAGTACGAAGTTCGCAGTCGCAGCCACAATTGTGCTGCCATTTTAACCACACTCGCATTTCTGTAACCAATCTGGAATACTACCACAGTGAATATCCGCGGAAACTTGCAAAGGCTCATAACAAGGAGCTCTTACTCCAATGTTGCTTTCGATTTCAGTGATTTACAAAACAAAATTCTTGACTTGAATAAGCAAACGCCTTCTTTAGAATCCTGGACAGAATTCCAGCAGGGCTTGGAGAGCCTTAACCCTGGGACTTATCTCAAACATAATCTCAATGTTTCTTTTATCATTATAGGAATAATGCTATTACGTCTCTGTTTTCTGTTCTGCAAAATCAGGTGGACACCAACCAGTAATTGAAAGCTGCCCAGCCGAGAATTAGCTTCATTCAATTAATACAAAGAATGAAAGGGGGACATGCTGGAGACCCCAAGAATGTGGGACGTGACCAACTCAGTATACCTCTGGAGGCTACGTGAGTAAAGAGCAAACTGTCCTGACGAAAGCAGGATGTCAGGAAACTTACCAACTGCGTCTGCCACCAGAAGGAATGTCGAGGGCAGTCACGTCCCAGGTCCCGTGCTCCTTGAGGTCATCTGTGCTCCTGGAGGACATCTACCTGAACATCTGGGACCTGTTGAACAAGCAAAGCAGTCCCTGTGATAAATCAAGTAGTTGAGTGACAGTCACCCCCTCCTCCCTATTCACTTTACTTAATAAATACAAAAGTTCACACCTGTAATCCAAGCACTTTGGGAGGCCGAGGCATGTGGATCACGAGGTCAAGAGTTTGAGACCAGCCTGGCCAACATAGTGAAACCCTGTCTCTACTAAAAATACAATATCAAACAAACCAAAAAAACTGGGCATGGTGGTGGGTGCCTGTAATCCCAGCTACTTGGGTGGCTGAGGCAGGAGAATTGCTTGAATCCAGGAGGCAGAGGTTGTAGTGAGCTGAGATCACGCCACTGTACTCCAGCCTGGGCCACCGTGCAAGACTCCATCTCAAAAAATAATAATAAAATATAATAAATATGAAGGGCTGTAAAAGCTCAGGGCCTTTGTTCCCTAGAAGCAAAGAGCCCCCTGACCCCTTCTTTCGAACAGAACCTTTGTCTTTGTCTTCAATTCCATGTTTGTCCCCCTTCGTTCATAACTACAGCAGAGCTCCATTGGGGTGACCTGCAGAGATCCCATGGGGCCGCCTCAATGTGAGCTTCTTCCTCACTCTGCCTCCCCCCACCACAGTTTGAGCCATGTGTTTTTCATCTACACGTTCAAAGAAATAAGTAGGCCTCTGAAATAATCATTTATTGTAACCATTGTTAGTGCCCTCAAAGGCGTAGCTCTTATCACTGACCCAGCAGCCATCACACATACATGTTCAAGTATTTTCACAGTACAAACTAACCTCTGATGTCCCCCAAAAGCCGAAGAAGTCAGGTAACACAATAAAAAAGAGAGAAGAGTTTTAGATCTGACAGGAATCCATTCAGTTAAAATTCTTGGGGTTCCATGATTAAAAACTGTGGTTCCTCCCAAATAGGGGTGTCTGTGGCACCTTTTCTGTTTATCTAAAGAAGTCCCAGGCTTTTAGAAATTCTCTATGTCCCCTTATGTGTCACCAAGGGTAGCAAGAGGAAGGAGGAACAGAGAGAAATAAACAAAAAGAGATTTCTAAAAAAACGAGAGAGAGACTAATCATGTAATTCTGAAAGATTTCAGTCTTCTGAAAAAAAAACTTTTAAAAATACAAAAGAGAAAAGCAGAAACTTTTTGAACATATGTTCAACTGCTTTCTGAATATATATAGAATATAAATACATATGTCATATATATTTAAAATGAATATATTCTACATTAATATATATTTAATATATAATAAAGATATGACTTGAATGTAAGTTCTTAATTAAGCTGACTGTTCATCATAGGCCTCTTTTTAAGCATTTTTCTTTCAGCAACCAAACATATCTGACACACGGCAGCAAAGTATGTTAGCGGCATGGCTGTACAAGTCTGCAGCAACCTCGATTCTTGCCTCTTCAGAACAAAGAATAAGAGACATTAGGCAGAAGAAGAGATTGAAGCAAATTTTAGAGCAGGAATGAAAGTTTATTAAAAAGCTCCAGAGAAAGAATTAATGTACACTTAAAAGAGGGCCAAGCAGGTGACAGGGTGTGATTCCATCTCTGACTTAGGATTTTGTAAGTTGGCATAATTCTGGGGTCTGAATCTTGCATCCCCTTCTTCCTCCCTTGGAGTGGGCTGTTGGCGTGCACAGTGGCCTGCCCACACTTGGGGGTGGGGAGCAGGGGCAGTGTGTTCCCCAGAGTCACACACACGTTCACGTGATGCCTCTTTCCCTTACTCAAATGCTCCTGAAAGGTCATATACCAGCAACACTCTACCGTTTTGTTTCTTAATGCACATGCTTGAGCTTGGTCACTCAACTTCTGAGAATTGGTCAGGAAGCTGCTTATCACCTGTTTATCACCTGTTTCTAGTGTTTCTTATCTGCTAGGAGACTGCCTTTCTCTGGCACTGGCTGTGACCAATTATTATTTTAGAGAGACAGGTGACAACCACCTGACTGTCACCGGATGTTCACTTGACATTCCTGGTGCGTGGGGATGGGAAGTTCTCTCCTGCCCGGCTTAGGTCTCATGAGCTACCTTCTGCAACACATTCAGACTTCTTATCAGAGTTTAGCTAGGACAAACAGCTGAGATTTATGGATTTTACATTTTTTTCTTTACCACAATTATCCTCCAAACTTAAACTAATAAGCCTTAACCAAGATTATGGCTTATCCAAGGATGTATGAGACACCTCGAAAGAGGTGCATGAGTCCCACAAAAACTCAAAAATCAAACAAATATTAGAACAAAAGGGCTGTTTCCCTGACCTAAAAATTAAAATCAGGCCACAGCAGTGAAAGCAAAGTATAGAATTTTAACTATTCAACCACAAGGTAAGAGTGCCTTTTACTCGTATGCCCTCAGGGAATCTAAAGCAAGAAGTTTGAGCTTACAAAGAAAGTTAACTTTGTTTTAGGTCAGATTTTGACTCTGTAATTTAGTCAAGAAAAATTTTAAAGCTAGCTCTGCCACTATAATGTGTCTTTCTTTGAAATTTGATCCTCCCATCAACATTTGAAATAACAGATCTCTAAAATATATATATATATTTTAACTTAGAAGTCCAATTCAATGGATCTAACTTCTGGCCATGGACAATTAGAATTTCCAGTGGTGTATTGATTCTAAGTGACTCAATTCAACAGCCTCTTCAGTGAAGATGCAGTCCCAAAGATCCTCTCCTCCCCGGTCCCGGTGAAATAAAATATTGACTCCCAGGAATAGGTTAGGAAAGCAAAAGACTCTTGTTGCCACAATCCTATCCAGGCAACAACAGTTGGGATGACCACAGCCTCTTATGGATGAAACTTACTATGACAAAACCTCCCGGGAGCTTGATACATTTGGAACAAACACAACAAAACATCTTGAGTTCCCAGCTACTTGAAGACTGGTCATTTTATGTGACTCAAACAAACAAACAAACTCCACCATATGATGCGGACTAAAGACAGTGCTCTCACTTGGTCACAAATCAAGCCTTCAAAGACATAAGACAGGCATCCCCAAACTACAGCCCACGGGCCGCATGCGGCCCCCTGAGGCCATTTATCCAGCCCCCCGCCGCACTTCAGGAAGGGGCACCTCTTTCATTGGTGGTCAGTGAGAGGAGCACAGTATGTGGCGGCCCTCCAATGGTCTGAGGGACAGTGAACTGGCCCCTTGTGTAAAAAGTTTGGGGATGCCTGACATAAGATGAGAGGAAAATTTATCCCGTATGCTCCTTTATTAACAACAGAGGAGGAAAAAAAAATACAGGGAAAAAAATATTTCTGGAAGTGAAAAATTAAATACGAATATTCAGACTCCCCAAATTACTAAAAATACACCAGGGTCATTAAACCAAGAGTACTCAAGCACAAATCTTCTTCTCCCATTAGTCAAAATTTGGTGGAGAAAACAGTGATTTTTTTTACCATTGAATTGGAAAGACTGCACGGAGAGAAGCCAGGAGTCTTGAATGTAATAAACTCTTACCCTGTTGCTGGCTGATTAACTTCCGGCATAGCAGCTTGCCCACAGACCGGTTATGGTGGAACATCAGGTTTTAGTGGCAAGACAGGTTATGGGAGAGAGAACCAGCCAAGCTGGTCTTGTATAGATAAAACCTGGCATGTAGAAGCCCACAGAGAAATTCAATGCTAAGTAATTATTTTGCATCTTTAAAGTATCAGATTCAGCTAATTATTTCCAGTTGATTCTGCCCTCATCAGATCCAGATTAGGGAAGACCTGCCTGCATAAATAGTCTCTACGACGTACATTTTTCAGGCAGCTTTTCAGGGCCCCGTCTGCTCATTGGCTTTCTGACAGCTGTCTCACAAGTTGTCAAACCAATATATTTTGTGTGAAAATATTTTTATTTCCTTCAACTGGCAGGTGTTTCTAGAGGTGGAATTTGATGTTCCGCAGTTGCAGGGGTTTCAGCCAATTTAGAGTCCTGACTGACTGTAATCTAGAGCTCCTGTTGGATTTGACCAAGTTGAAAGGTGTCAGGACACCAAAGGAGAACGATGACAACCGAAAACACGCATAGCCATTATACTAACGACACGCCGCTGAACACGCCAAGCCTAATGAGAGGTTAGAGCCAAGTAGCAGTAACCCTTAACCTGCAGCTACCAAATTCGGAAACAAAACCGCACACCAGCCCCTTCCCTGAGACCAAGCTGAAGGCTGCTCTTGATTGTCACAGGAGCAGAAATCTCACTTTTTTTTTATAGAAAGAGAGCAAAGCTCCTTCAGTAAAGGAGTTCCATGGCAAAACAAAACTCAGATATCAAACAACTGGGGAGAGCAGGAACCTCGAGAAAGACACACCATCAGTTAAAGCTCTATGGTTGGTACCGAGCACCAACAGGAGAATCACTGCAGGTCAAAAGGCTAAGCCCCACTCAGAGGGCCCCTATTTTGCTCCCCAAAATGTAAAACAACATGAGTGACTGAGGTAAGTGTCTGAGTCCATTGAGTTTTATGGAGCTTGAGAGGGCATTCTGGCAAAACGTGAGTCATAAAATATCTCCATGACTTATCTTTGAAGAGGTTTTCAGGAGGCCTGATATGTAAACATCCTCTTCAAGGGGATACGGCAGATAGAAAGAGACAAGCAGGAGAAAAAATGATTGGTCTCATCTGTCTTTCTTTTGTACTTGGAAAATAAAGCATTACCAGTGGGAGACCTAACGGGATTTGGCGTTAGAACCTAGACCTGGATTGCACACCGAAGGTTACAATTGACGTGACCTTGTTTTATGGGAGGATGTACATCCTGAAAGCTTTGAGTTCAGCAAAAAACATTTTGCGAGGGCAGTCATCCAGAGATGCCTGGTGCTTTTTTGCCTTTCTGTGGGGTTCTGACAAACGTGCGATGCATTCGCACAAGGTCGCAAAGTAACAGTTGTTCATTTGGGGAGAAGAGGTGGCCTCGCCTGACTCAGTCTACAGGCTGGACTATCTCTTTGGTGTAAAGAGTTTGACAA